AATCAACGCCATAAACTCTAAACGTTCCGGCATCAAGTTGTCGTAAATTCCCTTGATCACGCTTCCATTCTCCGTTGCATGGTTTGCGACACTTGTGGACGCCGTCTTCAGAGTCGATGCCCCAGACATCACCAATCCCGGAAACGCTCACGTATTTCATCTTTCCGTGGATATTTGTCCAATTGCTATTCGACCTAGTTTCTAACATGTAGATGTCGTTATTCTCATCAACACCCCAGACCTCGTAATCATCACCGTCTATTTGTTTCAAATTAATGTTTTGTTGAACCCAGTCGTCACTACTAGAGCACGGACGCACTTGAAGACTTCATTTTGATTGTTGATACCCCACAGGTATCTCGTGGTAACGGAAACATACTTCAGTTTTAAATTCGGAATTTTCTGCCATGGTTTGGTTCGAACGAACGTTAAAGAAGGCTTTAATATCAACGCCAGGAACAGGATAACAGCAACCCGCAACATAATGATATCTTAATCTGCATTGGTCAAACCACACTTTATATAATCATCATGTTGAAAAGAAGAAAGAAAGAAGAAAAGAAAAAAAACTTCGGGAATTTGCACGTGACTTCTATTAATCACGTGTTACATCATGACAAAGTACCGCTCGTAAAATTTCTCGAAACGTTACATAACACCAGGAATGTGCTTCTAGAAACAAGTATTATCATTTTTACACTGATATCACTTTATTGTTGCGATTACAAGACTAGTTTCGGTTTTAGTAAATATAGTTCAAACACAATATCGCACATTTTAATACAGGCAACGAATTATCGGGCTTGATTAAGTTGTAGTTTACAGATTAATAAAGCAATCAAAGGTTTGTAATTCTATAAGAAGGAAACTCGTACACAAGACATTTATACCACAAGACTAGAACGAACATTGAAAGAAAGAATATCTGGTAAAGTAAGTCGTGAGGAAAAAAGTTATACAAGAATCTGTCGAAGATTTCAGCACTTTCATTAATTATGAGTTGCCCCTTATTCTAATAATTCATGAAAGTTTGAGGTTAACATAACAAGAAGAGAAAATTTTATGAAGGAACCGTTTTAAAATGATGTTCTTAAGAGTTTTACCATCAAACACTTTCTGACTTATGATTTGTTACCTGCAGAAGTTAGATGATAATATACATGAACTCATTATATATCAACTAATTGTTACATGCAGAAATTAGATGTTTATATACATGAACTCACAATGTATCACATATTTGTTACCTGCAGAAGTTAGATGTTAATATACGTGAACTCGTGATATATCAACTAATTGTTACCTGCAGAAGTTAGATGTTAATATACGTGAACTCGTGATATATCAACTAATTGTTACCTGCAGAAGTTAGATGATATAATACATGAACTCACG